ACCCTGGACAGAAGATGCCCTTTGACTGTTAGTCCTCAGCAATAAAGGAAGCATTGTATAGATTTATAAAACCCTCTTGTGAATTCCATCCTGCCTTTCGGTAAGGATAGCTTCCTTACCCAACCTCACCTCTGACCCTGCCCCTCCCACCTCCTGGCTTGGCCAGCACCTCCTCCTCCTGTTCTTAGCAAGTATGGGGTCTATCTACTCTGGTCCTAGTTTTCTGGACTTCAACATATCTTTACTCTTTTTTTTCTTTCCAGCAATATAATTATCTTCATGAGTTCCGGGATAAATTAACTACGTATCTATCATCAAGAGATTCACTATCAAGATCTGTGTCCAGATAATGAAGATTTCAAATACATGCCTACGTATGAAGTTCCCAAGTTCTCTAGCACAATTTGTATTGAAGCAAAACTACTAGTGCTACCATCCTGAATATAAATGTTATGTGTGGGTCCTCCAAACGCTTTGGGTCATGAATCTGCACAGTTGATACAGTTGTCTTTCTAGAAGTGCACTGACTTTCTTGCTTACCTAGAGGACGCCAGGGAAAGGAAAGAAAAACACTGGGCTTTCATTGCTTACCCCGCTTTGGCCTCCTCTGACTGTCGCTGGTAGGCATGTGACACAGTAAAAATGAAGTTTTGTATGCAGACCCACAGTTCCCAGTGTACAGGTGGAGGGCAGAGGGCAAGAGTCAGTTCTCTTCCTTCATGTGGGTTCCAGGGTCAATTCAGACCGTCAGGATTGGTGGCAAGTGCCTCTCTTCGCTGAGCCATCTCTCACACACCCTACTTACTACTTTTAAAAAATTTTTACCCTTCCCCCCTCCTGAAATTCTCTTTTCCTACTTCACTACTTACAGAATTACAAGGGACTCTTGAGTTTAGAGCTGGCTCCCTCCCAGCGCACCTCACCACCATGGGGACAACCTAGTGCTTCCATGCACACTTGGCATGTTTCTTCTTTTCATTTTTGAGACAGGCTCTTACTCTGTAGACCAGGCTGGTCTTGAACTCACAGAGATCTACCTGCCTCTGCCTCCCTCAAGTGCTGGGTTTAAAGGTGTGCGCCACCACGACCAACTAACTAGCTTCTAGAATTTATGATTCCTTTAAAAAATATTGAGAAAGATGGGAGAATCATACAGGACTAGTATCAAATGTTTAATTCAGGGACTTTTTAAAAAAACCTCAAGACAATCCCAAAAGTTGCGTGTGTGTGTGTGTGTGTGTGTGTGTGTGTGTTTAATTTGGTTTTGTTTGTTTGTTTTTTCGTACATACTGCGATTACAACCGGTTTTAAAATCACAGTACCCGGAAGCTTTAGCCAGCGACAGACCGACACCAGCAAATGTCCGTGTGTGGAGAATGAGGTCCACCGGGATATATGAGACAGGGCCTCAGTTTCTAGACCTTGCCCAGTAGGCTAGGCTGTCAGTGAGCTCTGGACTCATCTTCATCTTCCCAGCACTAGGATTACAAGTACACATCGGATTTTTACCTCAGTATTGAGAAGCAAACGCATGTTCTCAGCTCACAGGGCAAACACTCCATCGACAGAACCACCGCCCTAGCCCCAGACTCCAGCAACTTCTACAGTCACTGCTCTAAGACAGAGCTCATTCCCGAATAATCAACTGGATTTTCATAGTACCTCTCAGTTCCCATTGCAAGTGTCAAACTACCACATTCAGATGCTTCACTAAACTATTCTAATACCACGCACATGGGAAAATTTTTAATTACACGCAGCAGGGAAACATTAGTCCTGAAATATACTTGTGTGGTGAGGTTTAGAAATATGCAATGCCGGCTGGGAGTGGTGTGCACATCTTCAGTCCCAACAAAGGCAGGCAGATCTCTGTGAGTTTGAGGCCAGCATGATCTACAAAGTGAGTTCCAGGACAGTCAAGGCTGTTAAGACAGAGAAACCCTGATCTGCAAAACACACAAAAACACAAACAAAAAAATGAAGTATAATGGCAATATTCCAGGGGAAGTATTTTCTCTGCCCAAAGTATATGATCTATCTAAAGGCAATGGGGACACAAGGCATACAATCTAGGGTCCTGGTCTTGTGCACGCTACATTTGAAATCAGCACACAGATTACATGGACTCAACCACTACCCATCAACGACACAAGGAGCATTTGAGACAGTTTTTATTAATACGAAAAGCGAAATGAGCACGCTCTAAGGCATAAGGGAGGGTGCACCACCTCCAAGCTTAGGCGTTAACAAACCGTGACTACACTTCATGATTTCGTGTTTTCCTTAGTTTTAGCATCTACTGTCATCAACCCACTTAAGAAACTCATCCCCGAGAATACATAAGCATTACCAATCAAATACAAGTATTTAGAAAAGGCACTGTATAATAACACTGCCATCTGGGAGACACCGGTCTTCTGCATGTCAAGACACTCATGTCATCTACAATGTTATCAAGAAATGAATGCAGAGCAAATCCCTCGCTCTACCTCAGACTCACACCTTGTGCTTGAAATCACTTTCCGAAGTAAACGGAATAGGCAACTCTTACACACTCCTTTCAGACACTGGAGATTTCTGAATTGTAGTCGCAGCAAATGGCTCTGAGAAACATGTCAAGAAATCCAGGAACAGAACATCTTCCCTAGGCATCGCTTTGGAAGGTTCACTCAGAACCATCTCCTAGGTTATACTGCTAAATATCAGACACTTTCTAACTACTCATCTGGCCACAAGTCAATCGGTCTGAATAAAAGAGCTTCAAGTCACTTGAAGCCAACATTATTACAGCTTCCAGCGGAGAAGAGCATTTATGAACAAGGTGAGGCAATGGAGCAATAGTTTTCTTTCCCCTCTAAAGTATTTTTGTTATGCAAATTTCTGACTTGCATCTGATTATTGAGCTGTACATCTGTGGATATTAAGTGACAAATAGTTGGCTATACTTTTTAATACAGACCATTTGAATGGACTGGATAAAGTTGTATAGTTACACCTCAGTAGAGCTTACTTACCCTGCAAGGAGAAATATACACAGAAATCACTAGTTATGCTCCACTAATTATATCTAGGAATACTATTAAAAAAAGCATACACAACTTTAAGTCCTTTCTATACATTAGATAGCCCTCATAACATATGGAGTTGGGAGGGAGAGGAGCTCCATGTTAGCTCCTAGCCTGAGAGTCTTGCCAATGACCTGTTCTTGGTTTCCCAGTCAGACTGTTACTCAACATACAAACCTGAATGAAAAGTCAGACAGGTCATTGTGTAAGTGAAACTTCAGTTACTAATACTCAAATACATGTTAAAAGTGGCTTAGCACGTCATTTCCTAACACTTTCCCTTTAACTCAAGCCTCAAAGAGCCTGCTGGCATGATACAGCACTATTCAACAGCCAGCTATGCAGGCATTTGCTGCGGAAGGCCTAATGCAGAAGAACCTACAAGGAACAGTTGCTGCTCCAGATGTGACTACAGGGGTCTAGCAGACACAAGAGCACAGGCGCAAACGGGGAGATGGCTTCTGAGAGCTAGAACTGGCACTAAGATGAAGGGCATTACAGGAAGGCACAACGTGAGCATCTGATGTCAACTGCAGAAGTCAGAAACCACGCTAAGAGCCTCGGCCCAGCCCAGGACAACGGGGCCCCAGCCCAGGATGACGGGGCGAGGCCGGCACCATCCCCAACAGACTAACCTACAGAACAAACCAGAACAGAGAAAATGGCCAGTGGGATTCTGTCTTCCGCTTTCTCCTTGGAAGACTTGACTTCCAGAGAACACTGAAGAGACAAGTGAGGCTGTCCCCAAGCACCTGGCCCTTCTAAGTCACATCTGGACACTATCACCTACGAGCGACATGGTGAGGCTCACTTGCTCTCTCAAGAATCAGGTGGAAACTGTACCTGACTTTGGAAGAAAACCATTAAAATTTCAACTAACCCTAAAGATCCGAAATAAAAGAAGTCTCTCAAAAGTTCTAAGGCGGTGTCTGTCCCTGCATCTTAACCTCGGCCAGGTCTCTGACGGTCAACAATCCTTGTGAACATGGAAGGGAAGCGAGGAGGGGCTAGGACAGAATTAGGTTTAGAAACAAAACGGCTGACTGTGCCGTACTCTAAGCATGAGTCTTCAGTGTCCAGAGCGTGCCCAATAAATCCCTGCACAAACCGGAGGGGACAATCCCCAGCAGGTGCTCTGCAGATGACTAGATAGTCTGTAAAGCTTTCTTTGCAACACGGTCTGGCCCCTCCTCAGACTGGCTCTTCATTCCCATCTTCCACATCTCTACCCTGTCATCTAATGCCCAGATGGCAGCATTCTCCCCATGCCTGGGGAGGGCCACTGCACTAAGGAACAGGACAGTACAAGAACTCCTGGAGTAAAAGCAGCACACATCCACTGCCCTGATCATTAGGGGATCTCTACAAACCAGTTGCCTTTCATCATTTGCTGAAGAAACTTCCAAACACTTTCAGCACTCCCAATCGCCTACACCCTCATCCTGAGAATGCTTATGGAAACCAGACACTCAAGACTTCACACACCTCCTGACTGGAGGAGCAGTGAGAGGTGATGGTCCTGTGTCTGCGGCAGGGAGGACTCCCCAATGGAACAGTGATGGGCTGTCTGTCCAAAACTCTTCAGACTCTGGATTTAGAAGTATTGTTTTAAGAAAACACACAATATGATGATTAAATTTTAAAATGACATTATGTCTTTTATTATGATGGATTGACTGAGCATGAGGAATAGCTGTTGGTGATCTCGAAAACAACGCACTGGAAAGCATCTTCATCTCAGAGTTTATTGGGTTGCACCGAAGGAACAGCGGGTGGTTACACAGTTCTCTCACTCACTTTGGAAAATCTAAAGTACTTGCAAATTCTTAAGAATACCTTGACCACTGGATTAGAAGAGTAAGCATAGTATAACCCAATTTCTTAGTAAATAATGTCTTACAAATAAAAATACATTTAAAATCGCTTTAAACGCATTCTTTACAGGTAATTCAGCATATGTTTGTATCACTTATGTTTAAGAATTAAAGCAAGTGTATTTATTACTCTGATGGAAATGAGGGAGATCCCTCTCTCATGCAATATACAGGGATACTATTCAAGTCGACAGGGAAGGAAATCCCATTCTTCCTACTGTCATGTCCATACATAATCATCTACAGTGATCAGTGCGGAGGCCTACGGCCTTCCCCACAAGTCAGACATACATTTTCAGTTCACCAGAAGCACCTCGTATCTATAATTAATTTATCCTGGAGCCCAACAAGCCCTCTAAACCAAGCTCCCAAAGGACTCGGGGCCATCAGTAATTAATAAAATCACTCGGAGGGTCATGGCTGTTCCTTAAGAGTGCAAGTTCAACCTGTCAACACCAGAGGTGATCATCTTATAGTAATTTATACGGAATTCCATTTAAAGTCTTTATCCAGGTATAACATATGAAAACAGTCTTTCCACAAGCAAAAAATGTGGAAACATTTAAAAAATAAGGAGTCGTTTTTTAAAGTAACTGATCAGATTCCATAGGCTACTCTTGGAAACAGGACCTTGCTGGATAGAATCCCTTCAATCAGCGGCGTTTTGCATGCACTTAACTGGACCGATTCTTCTGTGTTGTTCTATGAGCTCACCAAAACATAGATCATGCTGAAACAAAGAAAGATGCTGTTAATTCAAACACTCCTCATCACAAAAACTAAGGACAAAAGAGTTGAGCCCGCTTTATATATCCTGCCCATACACGGTATCATAGCATCATAGAAAAGACCACAGCCAAGTTCAGAGTGTGGTTTTAAGTTGCATTTATGGACTTTTGCCTACTGCCCCGTTTCTTTTCAAATTTTAGCAAGCAGAACAGTGTGACCGAGCATTCAATGAGGACCAGCATCACAGGAGGAGCATCTCTGGAGAGCCGGCTCGGAGCTGCAGCTGCTCGTCCTCCCCAGGCAGGACCTCACTCAGCCTCCAAGCTCTCTCAGGAGGCTGTGCTCGTTACTAGTCCCATTCTATGCAAGGGAACACAAGGGAGGAGCATTACAATTACAGCCGACAACAACTCTAAGCAACAGAAATGGGGACAAGAAGGTGTACAACGGGGGGGGGGGGCGGGAGGGGACGACAGTGAGTACGTGACTTAGGCCCACAAAGTAACAAGGGCAATTCTGTATCAACAGTGACGTTAGAAAGGCATTGGGAGGAGGCAGAGGAGGGGGAAATATAATCAAAACATAGTGTATGAAAGTCTAGAAATAATAAAAAAAAGATTTTAAAAAATGGGTGGGGGCACTGGGGATGGTACACACTCTTATCCCCAAACAAAACTAGGAGCTGAGCAGACATGTCCTGGTGAACATTCCCTACTACGTGCGTCTCCAATCCAATACTCCTGTGTTTTCTTTCCACAGGTATACTTTAAATGCCTACTACAGTCCAGTAACCCAAAAGTTAGCTAAAACAACTAAGACCACGGGGGCCATGGTGGCACATGCCTTACATCCCAGTATTTGGGAGGCAGAGGCAGGTGGATCTCTGAGTTTGAAGCTAGTCTGGTCTACAGAGTGAGTTCCAGGACTGCCAGGGCTACACAGAGAAACCCTGTCTTAAAAAAAAAAAAAAAAAAAAAAAAATAGGGGGCTGGAGAGATGGCTCAGTGGTTAAGAGCACTGACTGCTCTTCCAAAGGTTCAATTCCCAGCAACCACATGGTGGCTCACAGTCATCTACAATGAGACCTGGTGCCCCCTTCTGGCATGCGGGCACACATGGAAGGAATGCTATACACATAATAAATAAATTTTTAAAAAAATAAAAAATAAAAAAATAAGAGCTTGAAAATTAGCAAGAAAAAGAGATGGAATGTCACCATTCAGGACCTCGTCCTAGCTGGGGGATGGCACAGTAGTAAAGGTAAGGGTCACACCAGAAAGACTGAGCCTATCACAATGCTTCACCTATGGGCAAAGTTTCCAGGTGCACAGACGACAGCCTCTCAACAACCTAACACTTCGTTTGCCCTTTTCTATAATGGAAATTTATAATTTAGAAACAAATGTGAACAGAATTAATAGATAATAAATATAAATCATTCCCACTTACAATAGCTAATTTTTAATACTTTTATTATTTTATGTATTTGGGTGTTTTGCTTGCATGTCTGTCTGTGTGCCACATGTGTACAGTACCCTCAGAGGTCAGAAGACGGCACTGAACCCCCGGAACTGGGCTAAGGGTTATGGTTATGAATGCCATGTGGTTTCACACTTACCCGTATAGGTAGTAAAAAAAGGCTAGCAGGTAAAAAGCTAGTTTGCACCATCCTTCCTTCTGACAGTAGGCTAGAATGTCTGCATTCATGATGGTCGTCGGGTCATAGAGTCCAGGGCCACTCATCACTGGTCTACTCATGTACCTGAAAGAAACACAGTCGTTACAGGAGAGGAGGTGTTTGCTTCTCCAGCACTTGCTACGGGAGCAGCGCTCCAGACACACAGCACACCTTTGCTTGCAGGTCCAATTCCTTACTTTTACATCTATATCTTAAAACTATAGACACTAAATAACAAGAATGGGACAGCTATATCTGGTCTCTTGAAGCTCAGAGATGCAAGAAGAACAGGAGGGAAAGTTAGGTGTCTGCTTTCTTCTTTTTAAGATTGGTATCTACCATTATGTGTGTGAGTGTTTGCCTGCATGTATGTATGTGCACCATGTGTGTGTGTTTGCAGTGCCACAGAGGCCAGAAAAGGGTGTCAGACAGTTATAAGCGACCATGTAGTGCTGGGAACCAAACCCAGGTCTTCTGGAAGAACAGCTGGTGTTCTTATTGCTGAACCACCTCTTGAACTCCAAAGTGTTTTTTTTTAACTTTTTATCTCAACATAATTTTACACTCCCAGAAGGAGCAGGGTCCTCACCCAGAGTCTCCCCATGTTACATCAGCCACACTTGCTTTACAGCCCTGCTCCTTCCACCTCTAGCCATGAGTACAGTTTCTCTGAAAACTCCACTCGGTTACAGACATAATAGCACTCTACACCGGAACAGTCTTAAATGTGTCTCCTAAAAGTGAGAGATAGGAGGTTCTGATGTGTCCATTCAAACAAAGCTTTCTACTTATGGGCAATGGAGGAAAAACTCTATTCAGGTCAGGCATTAATTATGTAAGCTTATACAATCTGATTTCATCTATAAAATACTAAATGCTTTAAAAGTTATAAGATAAGAAATGAAAACTATAGTATGAAAAGACAAGTATGGAATATTCAAGCTTCCACGACGTTTAAAATGGCAGCACGAAGCTGAGCCACTAAAGTATGTCGGTGACGGAGACGGCTTGACATTTGGCTCAGGTCATCTCCTCAGGCCGGAAGTGCTGGACCTACATCTCTGAGTTCACACGTGCACGTGTACATTACAGACAATTCACTTACTTATACACATCAGACTTGTATGTGCTATGTCAAAGCTCCTTTAAGGACTATGGAAGCAAGCCCGGCAAGGGCACAGCGACCTGAGCTGAGTCAGTGCTAGCTAACTCCGAATCTGCCTATAGACATACAGTAGTAAAGATGACCGGAGCAACCACAGCCAAAGTAAAAGTTAGTTAAGAAAACATGTAAGCGTATTTAAGTATTACCTCCAAATATGATATGCCAAAAGGGGCATATTGAGACCCAGTGTGAGCCACTCTGCTGCACAGAGAAACATGACACAGAAGAAAGCATGGATGAGGTACTCTGGAAGAACGAGCTGAAAGGAAAACAAAGCCATTATCACACTGCCTGGCTCGCAGCTGCTTATCTGGAAAGCAAGTGGCAACCAAGCTTTCATTTTAAAACATCACCTAGAATTGGAAATCAAAGATGCTACTGAGTCCTACCTCCATATTTGACTTTTTACTGAAAGTGATTATAGCAAACTGGCCAAGGGATATGAAGCTTTTACTACAACAATAAGAAGAGAAATTTAAAACTCAGGTTCTTAGAGAAGCAAGTTAAACTGCAATTACCCCCAGATTGTTCCATTATTTGTGAGTCAAGTAGAAGGCTTTCATCTCCATCATTCAGCAATAAGAATACAAAAGTGAGATAATAACCAGAGCACATGCAACATGATAAAAAATCCAGAAAACAAACTCCCGTTTTTAAGTTTATGTTAGTTTTTAAGCCTTAGACGAAACCAAGACTGCTGCATGTACAATATTTAGCAGGTCACATCACTTTCCCACAGGCTGTGCAATGGAAAGCCAACCAGCCAACATCTCAGCACAGCTGGGGCGAACACTGAGCCATACAATGCAAGGGACACATTTTCTGCAATGTAGGAGGGAAAAGACGCGATTCTTAACCATGAAGAAATTGCCAGGTCCCAGAGTTCCCATTAGCCTTGTGTTCTCTTATGCCTACCTATCAACAAAATAAAAATACTACATGGCCAAAGACCAGCAGAATCTCAGACCTCAAAAAGAAAATAAGCCTTTTGGTAAGTAGTAACGAGGAAAAATTAATTCAAACGACATGCATTTATAAAATGACCAAGAGTTAATGATTTGTTTTAAATCACTCTTTATTCTTAGGGTTCAATCTAATCTAATGAGCTATTAAATAACATATCAAAACTATCTGCAGCTACTTCTACCTGAAACCCTAAGTCACCGCTGCGAAGTCTAGGTTATCAACTAGCTGTGCACCAAGTTAGGATAGTGAGTCAGGTCCTTCCTGTGTAAGCCATGCTGTAAAAATAAAATCATCCTGCATATTCAAGCCCAACTTCTAATACCCCATATTACTTTTTCCAGCTGAAAGCCATATATGGTGAACTAACTTTCCCCAGAGTTAGAAATCAAACCCAGGGCATGTCACATGTTCTGAGCAACACTCAGAACTGAGTTATATCCCCAATCCCACCATCAGATTTTTAATCAACATTATTTTAAATAAAATCCTAGTAGAGTCAACTAATCTAAGTCACTAACCAGATGCTTTCTACAAATTTAGCAATAATAAGTAACTAATATAAGCTCCATATATGCATGCATGCATATTCACATATGTATCGATTTCAGGCTAAATTTCTATAGACAAGAAAATGTCAAAGGACATCTTTGAAACTCAGTAACTAGAACCAGAACAGACCAAGAAGCATGCACTACAAGCTCCACTGGAACTGCTCTTGTAACAGCAGTTTAATTAAAGGGCAGGATGCTGCTTTAAACCCTGTCCAGCCTACTTCAGCCCTGAAGCCACTGAGGCCTATCAAAATGAATGACTTTGCAACTACTTAGACTGAGGGGAGAAGAACGTGCCTCTGGAGCCACACACCCCCCACACCAGACTTACCCTTAGAGAGCGCTACTCCTGCATTCTCCTGCAGCTTGACCATTCCAGTAAGAACCAGACCCCACTGTCGCTCCTCAGAAACGTCCAGAAGCATCTATCACGTACTTCTCACAAAAAGCTGAGCTCTCCAATCATTCAGTTACCACAGAACTCATTCTGTTCATGACCCACAGCTCATATTAAGACTAGTATCAAGAAAAAAATTACCTCTTGCAAACATGGCTGAAATGATTCGGACTGAAACATGTATTCTCTTGGTAAGTTTACATTTTAAAAAATAATACTTGTCTTCCCCCATACTTTGGCAGAACTGTCAAAACAAACTTAAATAGGGAAAGCTGTCAGATGCACTGCTGTTCAGCCAATTATGGGCACCCTCTCCAAAACACAGCTCTTGGGGCTACAACGACGGCCTTCCCCTCCGGAGCTGCAGGCGTCCAAACACATGTCCTCTCTCAGTGTGAATTCCCTTCCATTGAGAAAAGTCAGAAATCACACACTACATTCTATGATGAAATTTGTCCCTCTTAAAGTTACAATAAATTAAGAAAACACAGTTTGAGCTTCAGAAACCAGGATGTCTAGCTTGCAACTGTGGTCTCTGCCTTAACCTCTGACCTGAGCCTTGGTCACAGCACCTGGACCTCATAAAGCAACTCAATCAACTAACTGTCCTACTTGTGAGAGTAACTATTCACCTCTGAACAAAAAACTCCAGAGAAACACTTCTGTGCCAGGCCTGACACCCAGGGAAGTGTTCGTTTGATTCTAGCCAGCAACCTCACCATCTGAATATCGGAATTAACAAACTGCTGAAGAACATGAAATACTATTAACAGACCAAAAGATTCCAGCTTCCTGACCGCCTGACAACCGCTTTTAAGGACTGAGGCAAAGACGCTCTACAGTGCACACCAGTTACTTTCCAACCAAAAACAGCTCTGGTGTCTTTCTTCTTACAGCAAGGGAACCAGGAAATTAAAACTTGGGATTGTACCTACACGGAGCCTGGCGGTAAACATTCTCCACGGACACACTGGAGAGCTACACGGAGCCTGGCGGTAAACATTCTCCACGGACACACTGGAGAGCTACACGGAGCCTGGCGGTAAACATTCTCCACGGACACACTGGAGAGCTACACGGAGCCTGACTGTAGCGTTCTCCACGGACACACTGGAGAGCTACACGGAGCCTGGCGGTAAACATTCTCCACGGACACACTGGAGAGCTACACGGAGCCTGACTGTAGCGTTCTCCACGGACACACTAGAGAGCTGCTGCACCGCTCACATTTACAAGGGTCAAGTGGCACAGGCTTCTCCAAGTAAGAGTCTGAGAACGCACCTGTGCTGGTCTCCTCCAGTCCTGAACCAGTACTGAGGGGTAACCCTGTTTCTACTGTTTGCTGCCTTATCACAAGCGGCTCTTCAGTTTCTCACCAATTAGGCCAAATCAAACCAAATCAAACAGGCTAGGGAATTTTCCTCAGATGCTAAAGTGTATCTAGACTCAACCACAGAGACACATTATTAATAAGTCTAACACAGGAGACTGTTTCAGAACTCTGAGGCAGATACAACAGACTGGGACATTTATATTCAAACTGCTAGCTACAAAATTCTGGCATCTTGAGGCATCACCACAAACAAGACTGTGCCCCAAGCCCAGAGCTGCAACAAAAGCTGAGACAGCAAATGCATGAACCCATTTACTTCACCAGCCACATAACCAGAGATGAAAGCAGACATGGCAGCTAAGTCCACACTAGAGTCCATGTGTCCAAGCCACAGCCTGAGAAGAACTTCCCAGGACTAATGTTAAATCTGACATTGGCCACCTTTCAAATACTGCACTACATAATTTAATACAGATGTGCCTATGGCCATAACATAAAAAAAAAGCATACGCATTTAACAGCTTTCCCTACTTGACTGGGCCAGCAACAGCAAGCAAACATTTGCATAAAATATGAAGTTTCATGAAATCATATCCTCAACAGGCATATGAACAAGCACACTGAGAACAACACAGATACAAACGCCCTAGCCCACCCGCGAATGATGTGGCATTGAAACATTCAACTTTTAAAAAAGCAGTACACACCTTTAGTGCAATTTTGACTCTTTTAATCTTTTTGACCTTTTCAACTGTCTTTGGCCGACAATGTAAAAAGCAGATTGGAAGAATGTTAGTACGGCGGCTGACGTCACCAGATTAATAACACAGCAGTTGAGTCTGACAGCAAAGGGGACTTTTTATTCTGCCTACTTCAAGAACATTCAAGACAACATGCTACTGAGAAGACTGGTCATCTTCGGGTTACATCAAGTTAAAAGCAAGTAAATTTTTAAAATCTAAAGATAAATGTGATGTCATAACTTACAGGATTCAGGGTATTACACTGGTCTATAGGGTTCTTGTAATCAGTCTTCAGCTCATCAAACGCTATGATCTAAAATGAAATTACAACAATTAGAACCACTCATTTTAACATACAGTGACAACAAGCGTGCCCCAACCATCAGAACATTGCAGAATAAAACAAAGTGTAATATTTTGGTACCAATTTACACAAAAACTCCAATGTGCCAAAAAGAATAAGAATTAAAGCCCTGAAACATGTCATTGTGACTACAACAACTTGAGTCCACTGTGACCTCAAATTTCATTTTACCCAATGCTTCCAGTCCAGTTGTTTCCTCCATGTGAAAGAGCTCTTCCTACCTAGACAGCCACTGGTGCAAAGTGTTCCTCATCCTGAAAATCCCTCTTCTGGTCCCACTCCCTCTGTAGTTGTTCCCTGACTCAAACTGTATCCTTGTGAGCATCTCTTCTTTTGCAACCCTGTTAGTCTGGCATCTCTCGCTCTGGAATACTGCATTTGCATGCAGATGTGTCTGTCCCAGGGGACTGTGTGGGCCTTGGGGAGAAAGGCCATTTTTAATTATCCGTGCAACCCTCTCCCTCGGCACAGTGCTCTGAGACTCTAGAATGGACTCCAACAATTCAATTTATTCCCAATCATATACATTGCTAAGGCTCATGTTTCTAGGAGAACACAGCTTTACACCTAAGTGTCTTAACATTCAGAACTGCAAAGTTAAAAATGTACAAAGAATCAAAGCGAGAGATACACGCCACTTTGTGGTATTAACTTAGGTGTCAGAAGCCAAAGCAGAAGGCTTGTGAGGACCTGTTGTCTCTCTTGCCTTCAGATGTGTATGGGACTGCTTGCTGTCATCAGCAATGGTTACATATTTCTAGCTTTCACTGTGCCCACTTTTCAGGTAAAATTCTCCATTTCAAAAGAGTACAGGTTTCCTTAATCTCTAGACATATATAAAATATCCTAGTCTTCTGTGATTAAAAACTCCAAACAGAAATAGAAGGAAAAGTAACTGAAATATTAAAATGTAATATCCAAGGAAACCAGAAAATGAGAGGAAGGGCATGGGAGGAACTGGAGGAGAGAAAAGAAATGGAGAGGCATGAGATAATTTCGTTTTAATTTTAAAAATGTAAAAAAAAAAATTACTTAAAAAGATAGACGACTATTGGGCGGAGGCCCCCGCTCAGCCAGAGGCGACACCAGCCTCCGGGGTGCCAGTGTCTGCTGCCAGCAGAACTGAAGCTGGGGAAAACACCAGAAATGGGGCCTCAAATCAGGTGTGGAGGCAGCAAGAGGATTCACATGTTACCTTTTCACCAGCCTGAAAACGAACTTTACAGAAGCCACCTACAACTCACACACGCGGAGGAAGAACAGAAGCAGCGAACTATGCTGAGCCACAATAAACACCCCGGTTTCCATGGGACTTTTAAGCACACCCTTCTACAGTCCTAGAATTACAAAAATAAGATCATCTCAAGTTAAAAAAAAAAAAGATTTAAAAATGTAATATTCAGGGCAGCAAAGTTTTTCACTGTGTACATTTTTATGGCCCAGGGTCTAAGTATTAATTAATGTGCAGCACATTATTGAATGGATGGGAGCTTTAAAAGTAGGGAAAAAAACACTAGGCTAAAAATTTTAAATGTAAAGAACTCAACAAAAGGAATTTCCTTTGTCAATGATTTCTAGCACAATAAATGTTGAAAGCACAAATGTGTAGTTTAGCAGAAAGAAACTTTGATCAGCTAGCTATAAATATTAATGGTCAGCTACACCACATTATCCACAGATAATCCCCAGTCTACTTCAGTAGCAGAAGTTCAAGACAAGGGCCATAACTACAATAATATTGCATTTAGCAAGACTCAAATTAATAGCAAATTAACACAAAACCATTTTTGGAAAACAGGGCTTCGTGTAACTCAGAATCAAGTAGCCAAGGAGTTGGGGGACTTCTGGTCATCCCGTCACTACCTCCTCAGTGCTGGGATCACAGGGGTACAGCCCTCTGCTGGTCTGTGTGGTGGGATGGATGCAGTCTGAGACATAGAGGGTTCACCAACCGAGCCGCATCCCTGTCAAAACTTTTTTTGATTAAACAGTTTCTTTCAAGTAAACTGTTGAATGGGTCTCTGACAGAGCAATGGACACTAGACATATATTTGAAATTATTCCCCAAAGAGTCCAGTAATTATCTGAACTAAGGAATCCCTGGGTCTAAAAGCTCTCCACGGATCTGTGATACAATCTCTAAGTCTGTAACAGTACTTAAAAGTATCTTCTACCTTATCTAGACACCTTCCTTTCTAATGAAATTACCCATTTTCTAAAAGAGCACTTTGGGGGTTTCTTAAACATGCAATGTGGAAAATGTGGGGAAAGCACCCAGCACAACTCTCTTCTATTCATCTCCACCGTCCCAAAGGGCATCTGTAAAGCCACATCTACAGATGGAAAAGGAGCCGGACACTTCGGATTCATCGGAAGCCATGGTAGGGCCAGCTCACATTCCTAAATTATCTTAGTGTTCTACCACCAAAAGGCAGAAGATGCCATTCCAGTTTTTGGTTCCTACTAACGAGCATTTTGAAGTAGCAGTCACTTCTGACCCGGTGACCAGCCTACACCAGCACTCACCACTCCACAAGGCTCTATCTGAAAGTACAATGGCACTGCTTAGAAAAATGAAAGGGGCCTAGGAGACTTCTGCTACATGTTACTGCTGCATGTTACTGGTCAGGCACACGATCGTGATGGAACCCACTTCTTCATTCAAATTATATCATTATTCCAGAAGGTATTGGAAGGGCAGGAACAAATGAGATCAACTTTTAAAAATTGGTGATCTCCTGGGAGCTCTCAGTGCTAAGGTGGTAGAGAAACTATCTCAAATAGAACTGTCACCGGGGCCAGGCACAGTTAAGACGCACGTCCACCCTATGAGGAGCTGAAGGTTTCTGAAATTTTCAAAATCATATTAAAATTCCTCTATTAAATCAAGCAGCCCTGGCCACAGAGGTGGGTTGGAAGGTTGTCTTCTGAAAAGCTCCCGCGATTCAAGTATGACTTAAGGGGAAAACTTGGAAATGTGGCCAACTTAGTAATCAATCCAAGCTGCTTCAAAGTCCACCAGGAACCAGTATCCGAACCAGGGTGTCCTACTAGAAAAGCGCCCCATCAGATAGTGCTGCAAAGCAGAGTTGGAAATGCGGCTAAAGTAGCTTCTAACTATCTGATTTTGGCCGTGCTCCAAGGAAGCCTTAAAAGGCAAGCTGTTATTCAAGGATAAAAATTCGGAAAACTTCACGCCGAGAGTCGCCGCTCGGAGCGCACTGGGCATCCTCCCGGATGGAGGACGCGGGCAGCCCGGGCGCAGCCACGGCGCCGCCCGGCCG